GATGGATGGCTTCGGAGCTCAGCTCCGAGCGCTCCCGGGATCGCGAGTATGGATTAACCCGTAAGGCCTCGGCCCGGCACGGTGAGGAAACGAAGGAGTCGGGCAAGCCCATGCTGTGAGGGGTGGCTGTAGGTCGGGCTTGAGTCGAGTGTTCCCAAAGCCTGCCGAACTTCGGGCTCTGCCGCCGCGGGGTAAGCGGCGGGCGGGGGCGCTTGGCCCGCCCGCTGGCAAGGCTGCCCCTGAACTTTCAAGTGTTGTTAACGAAGAACATGATCGTCTGAGCCAGTGACAGCGACTCAGAATGGCTCCATTTAAGTTTTTACAGGAGGAAGCAAGTTAGCTCGCTAAAGCAATCAAAAAAGAGCATATATAGGTTTTGTAATAATGTGCTGTGTTTTTTGTCGGCAGAAGCAAAGGAGCGTGTTCAAGTTCACTGGTAACTTAGTGATAATTTAGAAACTGCAGACTCGCTGCTATCAGTGTAAACAACCATGACTTGAACAGATTTCAGATTACTACAAGCGCCTTTCGGGTCGATCCAGCTAACCTATGATGTAGCAGAGAATGGGAGCGTCGGCAAGGGAAGTGATGCAGGGATTGGGACCTCCAAGAAGGCCCCAGAGTTATAATGGGGACATTCAGGGTACTGTAGCAAAGTCAGTGCTGGAGGAGTGTAGGTGAAAAAATGCATACCCGCTGGGTGGAAAGCTGCCTAAAGGTAGTCAGTAGAGACTTCAGGTTGCTGGGGTGCGTATGGAGAACACAGACAATTAAGTTTTTCTTGTGCTGTAGTCAAACCATTAATTTGGTGGTGTGCTGGCAAAACCGTAGTATAGTTAAAGCTGAAGAATCATTGTAATGTACATAAGCTGTTAGAAGCCCTGGAGGTTCCTTTATCCAGCTGGAAACTGAATTATCTTTTGATGGTAGGTGTTTATAACCCTTTCAAAGAATTGTTTCAATTTCCTATCATCAGCTGCTCAATCAAACTTGTATAAAACAGTGCCTGCAGCCCCGCATAGGATACAGTTGTATTCCTTGTTTGCTTTCCTATTGGCCCTAGCATTCTCTATTTTAATCCCAAAGAGGTCCAGCTTCCATGGCGACAGTGCAGTCAGCTGGCAGTCTGAAGGTCTACCTGTCTGCTAAGCTTTTAGTATCTTCTGCCTTCCTCTGAAAGGTGGGAGACATTCTGGGGGGACCATTGACTCAAGGCTTACTTTGTAAGTGGAAGTGGAACTCCCTTAGACTTCATTTTCAAAGGTATTAACTCATTTTCTGGTGAAAATGGCCACTGTGTTTCTTATAAAACTTGATGTTAGTGTATGTGAAATGTGTCTGGGGCAGTGCGTTTGTGATCCTGTTCAGAGTGTGCAACTGCAGTTTTGCCTGGTTTCTGAGGCTCAGACAGTTACTCACAATAATGCAGTTCCCTCTGTGCTTAGTGACAACATTTCCAGATCCAGCAGTTTCAGGCGAAATAATTGCTCAGTGGTTGTTCTAGTCAGTTCTGGTGAATTACTGGTTTGAATTTAGGAAGTCTTGGCTGGTTGGTTCATTCTTACATGGGTATAAGGCCTCAGTGGACTCTGAGGTTTCTGACTCTGTGCCCTTTTCATAGTAGAGATATATTATTCAGAAGAAAAAAAGTGTCAGTGTTTTCCCCCTCCCCCCTTACAGAATTTGTTTAGGTTGGATTCCCGGGGAAATAAAGATAATGTAGTGACACTGTGCTTTCCTTGTAGAAGCATAAGCCTTTTGGCTTCAGCTACGTGTGGAAGAAGGAAAGAGGCTGGCAGATGGTTACAATCCTATTAGTTTTGTGAAATTCAGCAGCTGTGTAAAGGGAGCTGAACTGGCCCTCCACTGAGAGGAAGCAGAGGGAGAAATCAATGAAGAATTTTTCCATTTGGCAATGAACTTTCCATTTAGTTCAGATGAGTTGGGTGACTTGGCTGGTAGCTCAGATGAGCTGTGGTTCTGCTGACTCTTGTCTGATGGCGGTGTGGGAGGGTGGTTAAAAAGGCATGAATGTTGGGCTGTGCAGCTCTAGGAAACCAGGCTTTATTTTTTCCCCTGCTTATGGAGCTTGGAACACCTCAAATTCCTAAGCTTTTTATAGGAAGCTGTGAGATCTGCAATTTCCCATGATTTTAGAAATTTTTTTTGGTCAGAAAATTAATTCACATGTCCATATTCCTGGACACTTCTGAAGCATAGTAGAACTGTTGTGCCCAGTATACAGAATGTTTATGAAGCGCAGTTTAATTAGAGATTGTCCATGTAAATATGGCCTAGCTGTCTAGTGCGTTTCCTTGCAACAAACGTGTTTATTCAGCTTGATTTCTATCAATAAAAATTGCAATGCCATTTATGATTAAATTTATGAACAGTTGCAGGCTTTAGCAGGAGAAAGAAAACTTGGGCTGTACATTTCTTGGTAGAGATCAGGTGAAGAAATGCAAGATTCTGAAAGCCTTGTAAGAACTTGGTGCGGAACCAACAAAAGTACTTGAATGGGAGGCTTCACAAATGTTGGTGTAACAGTGGTGTGAAATGCTTAAACCGAAAGTTGTAAAACTAATTGGAGGGGGGAAATGGGAGCAAAAGGGTTGGGTAAATAATTGGTTAAAGTAGAACTTACTGGGTTACTACTTATTTTGTTGTTTTTAAAAACTCTGAGAATAGGAGCAAGACTCAAACTTATCTTAATATCTTTCCACAAAGAGCATGAAACTTAATCCAAATTTCTCCTTTATCATTTCAGATGTTGGATGAAAATAACCATCTTATTCAGTGTATAATGGACTACCAGAACAAAGGAAAGACATCTGAATGCTCTCAGTAAGACATTAATCCAAATCTACCGTGGACTGGGTGAATTTCCACCTAGATCGACATTCTTGATTTGTTTAGCTCACCTTGTAGTTGAACTGTGCTGTGAAGAACAGAAAAGTATTGCTACAGATACCACACTTTAAATTTGTGGGATTTTTTTTTTTTTAATTTGCCATATAAGTGTCACTTCTGTCACTGAAATGTTGCAGCTTGCCTACTGCAAGCTGATGTCATGATGATGACGCATATAAAAATGGGTGCCATATAACCAAGGTCTGTCCTCTTGATCGTAATTACACCTTGGGAAAAGGGTAGTTTTCTTCTCAAACCTTCCAAAAATCATGTGGGCATGGACCTTGCTTTTTCCTGATGGCATGTTTGAAGACTACCTGCTTACCAGTTGCAGAAGAACAAACGGACTTGTCGTAAAAGTTTGGCTTGCCAGAATATACCATGTGGACATGCTGTCTAGTGGGGTCTCTGAAGAGTGATCTGAGAGATCTGTGGAAGGAGTTAATAATTAAGGAATATTATTTTCCCATTACTCTTTTCTGGCATCGGACCTTTGTAATGGGCACCCTTGTAATGGGGTGAATATGGAGTTGTGTGACAGGGCATCACGATATGGCTTGAATCCCTTATTAAAGGAACTTATAGTCTGGGAAATAGGAGTGGGGTCATGAACAGCAGGCATTTTTGCTGTAAGGGAATGCTTTTACTGTAGCACAGTTAATGTATTAAGCTGTTTGCAAGCTTGTAGTTATAGTTAATGTATTAAGCTGTTTGCAAGTTTGTAGTTACGTGTCTGTAATCTGTTCCTGCTTTCAAGGTTATTTGTGTGACTGGGGGCTAGATGTTGAGACTCTGGAATGTGGTTTTGTAGCAAAAAAATCATGCCATAGCGAACTTCCAAAGTTCAGGGTCCTGATGAAATGTTGACACTATGTGAATCATGATCAGGAATAAATCTATGATACCTTGTATCTGGGGATGTAACAGAAGGAGGTCTCTTATTTTCCCTAGTGTTTGTGGTGGAAATTACACCACGCAGCCATATGCACACTCTCTGTCTTTTCGTGACTTGGTTTGGGCAGGAAGCGAAATAGGTGAGAACAGTGTTGCCCAGCTTTAGATTTTTTCATAGCAAGGCAGAAGGTGTAGAGAAGATACACAGATTTGATGGAGACATTGGGAAAGATTGGGTAATCGGTAAGTGTCAAGGGAAGGGCTTAGGATTCCTAATAACAGTATTCCTTCTAAGTCTCTTGAATCTTGTTTTACATAGATAACTTTCTTTACATGTGTTGAATTAAAGTAATTTCAAATGTTTATCGTATTTTTGACTTAGGATCTGTTTTGCTTTTGTTTATTTTCATAGATACCAGCAGATGCTGCATACAAACTTGGTTTACCTAGCCACTATAGCTGACTCCAACCAGAACATGCAGTCTCTACTACCAGCAGTAAGTACAAAATAGTGTAAAAGTAGGGAATAGGTTTCATTTGGGTTCCTGGAGCCAGGAGGGGGAACCACCCAACCTCCCCCACCTTCCAAAAAAAAATGCCTGCAACCCAAACAGTAGTGTTTGAGGTAAAGACCAAATGTTTAGGCTCTGAGTACTGCACAGTGAATACATGATGCAGTGTCTCTTCACGCTGTACTTGGAGTAATCTCGCTGCCTAGGTCTTGCTCAAAATCTTACTTTTTTAACTGAAGACTCTTAACCTGTGCACTGTGTGTTTAATTCAGAATATCTGGTCTGCCTCATATGTAGTCTTAGATTCCCCTACCTCCCCCTTAATTGAGAACTCTAGTGGTGTGGCTCTTCGTTCTTATGGCCGTACTCTGTTTATCCTCTTACAGTAGGGGAAGGGGGGGGGCATGGGATTTTTTTATTATTGTTAATTTTTTATTTTTCATTGGAATATCATCCATTCTTTTGCCTTAGTGGAATGAGGTTCGGTAAATCTTAGTATGTTTTTCGGTACTCCTAGATGAGTCTCTTAATTTCTTTGCCTGCCCCCTGTATCAGAAAGCAACCTTTTTTTAAGGGGGATAATGATAATATGCAAGACATAAGGTTGCACAGACTTAACTTGAAGTGCTGCATTGCTTTAAAAACGAGGCATTTCTTGGATAATACTTTAAAAAAATAATTTTCTTAATCTCTATTTCTGAACTCTTTATTTTATAACACACCTCAGAATTTTACCCCTTTCCATTGTTTATGGAGCAGTAAGGAAAAATACAACAAACATTAGAATAGCTTGCTATCTCTGTTTTTTGTGTTAATCGGCAAGCTTGGGGAGTTCATTGTGAGTAACACAGGGAAGTTTTTTCGTAATAAGACTTTTCTTGAATTAATATAGTCTTGATTCATTTCTGTAATATGAAGCTAAAAAGAATACCTATAAAACAGCCATTCCTAGATACTAGTTTTCAGCAACTGAAATTGAATTACTTTTTCTTTGGTCTCTGGAGAAGTGTTCTCCAATCATTCCTACTAGTGAAGCATCCTTTCAAGTTGGTACCTAGAGGACTGTAGAAAGAGTGCTTCATTATGTCCAACCTGTTGTGCCTGTAGAGGCTTCTCTTTTTATAAATCCATGCTTGTAGCTGAGGGGGAGGGAAAGAAACCTTTAAGAGGGCAGCATGTATTACTCAACTAATATGGTTTTGGAGGCTTAATTCATATCCTGGTTCTGACGACAACTGGGAATGAATTTGACCTTATCCTAGTCCCTGGTGAACAGCCCTGTTCTTGAAGTTGAACGTTATGACATTCTCTTCTTAAAAGAAAATGAAGATGGGGCCAGGAAAGACTTTTGCGATCGGCACTGAAGTGTGTTTCTGATCTTGAATGTAAAGAATATTCCACAGTAGTGAGAAAACAGTGTAGAGTGTTTTTGTTTGGGGTGCGGGGGAGGTTGCCTTTGAACAGCTATGGTGGGGGGAGTAAAGAGGTAGTTTCTTGTTGGGTGTGTTTTTTTTCTTTCAAATTAAAAAAAACCACCACCAAAACAAAAAAAACCCAACCCAAACAAAAAAACCTGCCTCACAAATGAGATTTAGATGTTCAGTCTTCCCTAAGTGTAGACGCTCTGACCTACCAAGTCAGATCTTTGAAGATTTGCCTGAAATATGGTAATATAGTCAGATAAAATGAGTTTTTGTTTGGGTTTTTAGAAAAATATTCTTTAAATTATTTCTGGCTTCCCAACAAATTTTAGCCAGAGTAATTTGGGAACATGTGAGCGACTGCTTTTTCAGTGCAAGATAAATTACCTCAGGCTCTTTTTTTTCCCTTAATTGGCTTTCTGTTTAAGAACTGATGAGGCTCAAGTTGACTTGGAAGTATTATGTTTCTGTTCACCATGCTTCTGTGTCAGCTGTTGAACAGTCTTAGTAAATTCAAGGATTGTGGGTAGCAACAGTTAAATATGGAGCCAAGATACTGTGTGTGTAAATATCTACTATTTTTAATAGTATGATAAAGCTGATATATTTTACTACTGTTGTAGTTTCCCACATAACTGAGGAGGGCTTGAGTCTGGATAGCTTCTTAAGTTGGATTGTGTCTGATCTATTCATATATGGAAGATTGTTCCCTTAATAAACTATACTTTTTAAAATTGTCTGGGTTTTTGTTTTAATTGGGTAAATGCGCTCAAGAAATTTCAGCTACTACTTTTTATAAAATGCTTTATGTGGTAAAAAGAGAATACTGCTGTTAAGGTAGCATTCACACTGAACAAGAGAGCTAAATGATCAGGTTTATTGAATTCTTTAATATGAGCTGAAATGACTTGAGCCTGGTGATAACTTTGGTGTATTCACTCACAATGTTCCTTAGGCTTAATATTTCATCTTGTTGGGAAAAATGCTTATCGTCAGCCTCTGTGCCTCTGTCCCCATCTTTCAGAATGCGCTATTCTGATGAACTGACTGTGCATGCTTTCTGAAAGTGTGGGATTGCCTGCAGAGAAAGAAGATAAATCTCACTCTAAATGAGAAGTACAGTGAACTAACGGTGTTGAGCAGAGAGAGGCTTCTGTAAAGGGGGCCTGGAAGTGAGGAGGAGGTGAAACAGGTGAAACCGGTGTTGCAGGCAGGGTGTGGGTGAAGGGACCAAGAAGGGCTTTGAAACTCCAGTGTTATAACAAAGCTGCTGTTGTCTTTGTGTGCATGATGAATTTAGAGTTTTAAATTATGACTTCTGGGGTAAGAGACCTTCCTTCACATCAGAAGACAAAGCGTGAGGTTAATCTCCTTGAGTCAGCCAGGCTTTTCATAGCATTATTAAGGGCAGGGCCGTTTTGGAGTGTCTGCCCAGCTGGATGAGAGTGGTGGCTAAGTCCACGTGTGAAGTTGATGCAAATTTTTGCTGCCTCTTTCCAAGTTATGGCAGTTATTCTCCTTCTTGGGGGAGCAGTGGAAAGTATTTTCCACTGTAGTGGAAAGGGCCTGTAGTGACAGGACAAGGGGTAATGGGTTTAAATTGAAAGCAGGGAGGTTTAGATTAGATATCAGGAAGAAGTTCTTCCCGGAGAGGGTGGTGAGGCACTGGAACAGGTTGCCCAGAGGAGCTGTGGATGCCCCATCCCTGGATGTCTTCAAGGCCAGGCTGGATGAGGCTTTGAGCAACCTGGTCTAGTGGAAGGTGTCCCTGCCCATGGCAGGGGAGTTGGAACTCGATGATCTTTAAGGTCCCTTCCAACCCAAACCATTCTGTTCTATTTACCACCACCACGTGGGATAACCTAGCTTCCCAAAAAGGGATTGCATGGTGAGGGACACAGCACTGTTGTGTTCTTTTGATTTTCATTGGTGCTGCTTTTGAGGAGGCAACAAAGATGTAATTTTCTTACTGGGGCTTTCAAGAGAACCTCTAAAAACAGTAGTCAGGTATTGTGTGTGCGTGTTTCTGAACCCCTTAAATTTCAAACTGCAGAACAGGCATCTTCTCACTGACTTTTCATTTTGTTTTCTTGAGAGAGTGTTTTAGTGACATTAAAAAGTCATTGCAAACTATTGAATAAAAAAACCCAAAACTTTTTCACTTGGACGTTTTCCATCCTCCATATGTCTTCATTTTGCTACAATTTTACAAGAAAACGAACCATGACCATCCCTTCACTGGGGAAAGTCGAGGGCACTTCAGTCCTGCACTCCAGCCTTTTCATTTTGGCATTAGTTTTATAACAGGCAAATACTGAGATCTGCAGGGAATTATTTGATTAAGAACATTTTTTTCCAGAGTTTTTCTTACATAATGCAACTTGCCTTCCATCAGCACGCAGAGAACTTATTTCAGTGTGTATTTCAAGGAGGTGATGACAATAAATGCTTACTCAGCTCTGTAACATACCAGTTGTCTTTGAATACGAAAGGGCCGGTTTCTTCCAGTTGTAGCAAGATAAGATCTATACGTGACGTGAGTTCTGACAAAACTCATTGGGTCAGAGTTGTACAAGAATGTTCACATTGCATTAAATTGTTTTACTTCATGTGGGAAAGGTTATTAATGATCTTATTAATAAAAAGTGGGGTTTTTTTCTTGCTTGAGATACTTCTCGCACAGCTCATGGGCTCTGCAGGACTTATGAAATCCCTTACTGTATGCTGTTCCCAAACTTGTCACACAGATTAGGGTGGAGTCCATGGCATGTTAGTTACAAAACACTTCTATATAAAATGGTGATTGCTTTTTGTAAACACGCAACATCAACAAACACTGAAATGCTGGTTACATCCAAAGAAACTGCTTCAAGAGGTAGAACTGTTAAACATCGTTACTGGCACCTGACTAAAACTTCAAGTTAGTTATTAAAGACTTTCTTCTGTGTTTTTTAAAGCCACAGTGTTTGGGTGGTTAAATAGGTATCTTCATTATAAGAATGGTTTTACTCAATCAGTGGAAACTCTCATATGTTCCTAAGTACACTTTAGTATTTATCAGAGGGGTAATGTTCAATCTATGGTTTTATTGTACTTGAGATGTGATTAGTTTGTAGAAACAAATCAGAATCTTAGGAACTGAACAATGCACTCGGCTTTTTAGTAGCCTTAATTTTGAACATAAATGTCTTCTGAAATACTGAGTTACCTTGGTACTGTTTTTCTTGAAAAAAAGTAAGATGGCATCCAGAAAAGAAAAATACGGCTGAGTTTTAATAGCTTAGGGTAAAATTTTCAAATAAAACTCCTGTTACTGAAGATGAGATGGAAGGCTAGCTTCTTTCCCAGGCATTTGGTACATAACTGGACAGACCTCATATGTGTGGTAGTATAGCAGAAATCTGTGGTATCTGCTTTCCAGCTGATCACAGCTGGCATCAGTCTTTAAACCTCTGGCTTAATTCTGTGTATATTGAATGTTAGTGTGTTGATTAAATTAGTTTTAAAGCAGATACAGCATGCTGCATTGTGTATTATTCTGCATTAGCCTTTCAGAACACAAGC